TGTTCCAAAAAGGTTTTGGATGGATGCTATACTTGCAGCTGCTTATGTCATCAATCGCATGCCCTCCAAAGTGCTAAACTACATGTCCCCTCATCAGTTGTTGTTCCCTCGGTCCCCTTTATTTTCCATTCCCATGAGAGTTTTTGGTTGTCGTGTCTTTGTCCATGATTTGTCTCCGTCTCGAGGTAAGTTAGACCCTCGGTCCATTCCTTGTATCTTTCTGGGCTATCCCTCCTCTCAAAAAGGGTAAGTTGTTCCCTCGGTCCCCTTTATTTTCCATTCCCATGAGAGTTTTTGGTTGTCGTGCCTTTGTCCATGATTTGTCTCCGTCTCGAGGTAAGTTAGACCCTCGGTCCATTCCTTGTATCTTTCTGGGCTATCCCTCCTCTCAAAAAGGGTATCGGTGCTTTGATCCCGTTAGTCATAAGTTTTCTATGGATGTGTCCTTCTTTGAGTCTGAGCCATTATTCCCTACTTCTCCTCAAGGGGAGAGTAGTAGTGTGGAAGAGGAGAAGCAGGTTCAGGTCTGCCAAGTCTCTCTTCCTTCTATTCCGGACCTTGCTCCCTTTCATGTCTTCCAACGTACATGTCGTAGAGATCAACAATGTGATAGAGATGTGGAGCAGCCAAACATTGAGCAACCGATGGTGTTAGACTCCCAGGAGGTAAGTCCAATCTCTGTTGCACCCATTGATACCCCTACTCCTACTGTGGATGACCTTGACATTCCTATTGCTCAAAGAAAGGGAGTCAGGTCATGCACTACCAAACACCCCATTACCCAGTTTGTCTCCTATGATCACATTTCCCCCTCATACCGAGCATTTCTATCCGTAGTTGATTACAACACTGTTCCCAAAAATGTTGCAGAAGCCTTTAAATGCCCCGAATGGACAGATGCCATGAAGGAGGGAAGAGATTAATGCTCTTCATAAAAATCAAACTTGGGAATTGGTGGATCTTCCAAAGGAGAAAGACCCCGTGGGGTGTAAGTGGGTGTTTACAATTAAACACAAGGCAGACGGAACAGTTGAAAGGTACAAAGCAATATTAGTAGCCAAAGGATACGCTCAAGTGTACGGGGTTGACTATGATGAGACTTTTGCTCCAATAGCTAAGACGAACTCAATTAGGGTTCTCTTGTCATTAGCTGCTAACTTTGACTGGGAATTGCATCAATTGGACATAAAAAATGCTTTTTTTAATGGTGACTTAGAGGAGGAAGTATACATGGTTCAACCCCTTGGATTTTGTGCCAAGGGAAGTGAAAATAAGGTGTGCACGCTGAGAAAGTCTCTTTATGGTTTAAAACAATCTCCTATAGCTTGGTTCAGCAAGTTTCACATGGCAGTTCAGCAGGTGGGTTTCAAACAATGTCAGTCTGATCATACACTCTTTGTGAAGAGATGTCAGRAACAGGTTGTTGTATTGATAGTGTATGTGGATGATATCATCATTACAGGAAATTAGAGTTCAGAAATACAAAAATTGAAACAATTCCTTGCATCTAAATTTGAAGTGAAAGATTTAGGTCCCCTGAAGTATTTCCTTTGAATTGAATTCGTCCGCTCAGAAAAGGGTATCTTCATTTCTCAAAAGAAATACACCCTTGATCTATTACAGGACACAGGCAAATTAGGTGCAAGGCCAGCAGATACTCCCATGGATGTTGACCACAAGTTTGGTGACTGTGATAGTGAACCTCTAAAAGATGTGAAACAATTCCAAAGGTTAGTGGGAAAGCAGATTTATTTGTCCGTGACCCATCCAGACATTGCCTATTCAGTTGGGGTTCTAAGCCAATTCATGCACTCTCGTAAGAAACCACACATGGAGGCAGCAGAAAGAGTTCTTAGATACTTGAAAAAGTATCCCGGAACAGGTCTACTATTCAGTAAACATAATCACCTAAAGGTGGAAGTCTTTACAGATGTTGATTGGGCAAGTGTTGTGGATGACAGAAAGTCCACGAGTGGGTATTGCACATTTGTGGGAGGAAACCTAATGACCTGAAAAAGCAAGAAACAAAATGTGGTAACAAAGTCAAGTGCTGAAGCTGAATATAGAGCTATGGCACATGGGGTGGCTGAAGTCCTTTGGCTAAAAAATCTTCTAGGGAAGCTTGGAGTTGTTGTTCATAATCCTATGTCTCTTTACTGTGACAACAAGGCATCCATAAACATCGCCAGCAACCCTGTCCCACATGAGAGGACCAAGCACATTGAGGTGGACAAACACTTCATAAGGGAAAATTTGGAAAAAAGGGAAATCTGCATCCCTTTTGTCAATTCCAAGGAACAACTCGCTGATGTCCTCACAAAAGGGCTTCCATACTCGCGGCATAATGAGTTATGTGACAAGTTGGGCATGATAGACATATTCAGCCCAAACTTGAGGGGGAGTGTTGTGAGGATTATTTAATTGTTATTTTATAGTTGTTGTTAGTGGGTTGTCCGCTTAAGATGATGTCAGTTAGTTATTTTCTTTCTTTCTTATTAGTTTGTTTCTAGGGAGTGCCGCCAGGGGCATACTTATAATTTCCATCTTTTTATATTAAGTTAATATAAATAATGAACTGGCGGCAGCCAGAAGATGGTTATTCTTTATATCTCAATCATATCTTCCTCTTCTTCTCTTTCTCTCTCTCTCTCTCGTCTCTCTCTCTCTCCATGAATGATTACAAAAACAATGAATCTTAGGGTAAGTCCTTAGGTTCCATAGCAAGCAACAACCATCTTTCGCTATTAATCGTCTATAATCTTCATGAAAAATTGTATAAGCTTCATTTGAAACATAGAAAATCAACATATTCATGACAAAAAGAAGAAGAAAGAAAAGAAATCTCAAAAAAAAAAATAGAGGAGCTCAGCCTCTATTTTTGAAAGAAAAGAAAGGGTCGAAGAAAAAGAAGATGATGTGAAAATGATTAATATGTGTTAATTGGATAAAATTTTGTGTTCTTCCATGCTAATCAGTTCAAGTTTTGAAGTCTTCAAGGGTTCAAGGCAGTAAACATGTTGATTGAACCCTAATAAATGAGAAAAATAATAAAAGAAACTAGTATTCTAAATTAAACTTAATAATTTAATTTAATAATGTTTACTTTATTATTATTATCTCAAAAAGTTAAGAATATAAAAGTATCCAGGACCACTAAGTAAAAAATATCTTGGTCATTACGTGATGTGACCCTCCATGAGCACCTTATATGGAAGGAAGAAAAGGAATTGATCAAAATATGATTCTCCGAGGCACATTGTCCATGAAAATGATATGATAAGATTTCTTGCTAAGAATTGGTAGCTTGAAGGGTCCTGTATTTTCTTTTACTTCTTTTTTTGAGGGGAAGAGGGTTGTTTCTTTCTTTCTTTTTTTATCAATGGGAGAGGGTTGTTAATCATCTATCTTTTTAGGCCTTGTCTTCCCCTTTTGAGTGAGTAATATTGCTCCTTACCTCATCTTTTCCTTTCAATAAAGTATTCGCATGCTTGTACTGATAACACCAAAATAAGGGGAGAAAAAGTTACAGAAAATGAACGACGATGATTGGAAACTCAAGAACAGAAAATATCCACCATATTCCACAAGGTAGAACCAACTAATGTTCCGTCCAAGCTAGAAGAACAACAATATTAAACCATAGCATTAACAAATAGGTTCCTCATACAAATGGTTACGAACAAAGTGAAATCTAAACCATCCAAATAAACCCTCCAGCTAGGCCCACTAAACCAAATACCACAATTGGAGTCGAGAAGACCATATATACTCTTTCCCTATTATTGCCAATAACAGCACAAAAGAATGCAAATGATTGATGGAAAAAGCTATCATAAAACTGACATGGTTATCTCTAGGCTACGGCATAATCTAGGTGGATCTAATTGAGTAAACGCTTTGAATTGGCGTAATCCATTACAGTTTATGCAATCTCAAAAGCTTTCTAGTTTTAGTGCCCCCAATATAGAAAACCCTAGGTCTCAAATGCCAGGTAGAAACCGTTAAAAGTCACAAACCCAACTCGCTAAAATCTCAGGAACTTGGGGACCCCAATCCAATTTTGTTAAAGCTAAACAACTCAATTGATCTATTCCCCTTATAAGTGTCCAGAGAATGACATGAGTGCACAATGTTGAAATCAAATTGAAGGTACAAGAAGGATTCATGTGGGAAAATAGGACTTACTGGAAACCAAATTTCCCACATCCCGATTATCATACACAATTGCAGCACGAAAACCGGCGTCTTGAGCATTACGGACTTTGTCCTCGAAGGAGCACTGACCCCTGGCAATCAAAGCGAATGGCACATTGACAATTTGTTCAGAACTCAAATCGTTATGAAGCAAAGAGCATGCGTCAAGAGGATCTGCCAAATGCAAAGCTCCACAGAGCCCAGACCTGTTGAGACCAACAGCTGTAAACAAATAAATAAATAAACAAGAAGATTTAGATATCAATTGTTACTAAAATTCTAATTTCAATTAGAACGGATATAAGAACAAACATCTGAAACAAAATAGAAAGAGAAAAGAAAAAAAAAAAGGCTGAAACCTAGAAGTAACGAAAACCATGAAACTTAACCTAGAAAAAAATTAAAAAAAAAAAAGGAGGAAGGGGAAAAGAGGGAGAGAGATTACCAAATCTAGCTGGAGCATCGATGAAGGGAATGGAAAAAGACTTGCCTCTAAGAATAACAATCGCAGAGGAGATGCGGAGCTCATAACAGAGAAAAACGAAGAATCCAAAAAGGGTTTTGGGGACGAAGAGCATGGACTGTTTCATCTCCTCCCCTCCCTACTTGACTAGTAAATAGTTCCTTCCCCTTCTCTCTTTACTTATCTGTCGGTTGTCGGTTGTGCAGAGTATCCAGAGCAGTTTGGGGCTTCGGGCGAAAAAGCAAGCTTCGAGAGAAAAGACATGTGAGAGTTGATACGACAACTTTTTAAAGATAAATAAGTACTTAGGGTGCTCGTGTCATGGACATGCAGATGCTGATAGGGCTGTTCACAAATAAATTCAAACCGACTAAATCGATTAATTCGGTCCGATATAAATCGAGTTGGCCGATTTTTTTATTAGCGGTCAGCTTCATATTGCAAAGATGAATAAACTAATAATTTGTTTCGATTTCTGTTATGTGAAAAAATATATATTCTAAAAAAGTATCTGTTAAATATAGTTATTTTAGTTTTAAATAATATATATATTCTGAAATATATCAGATATATATTTTTGAAATATATATTTCCAGAAATTAGAAAATATATATTTTGATATATTTGTATATATGTTTTGGTTTTAAATATATATTTCTAAAAAATATATTTTGAAATATTATATATAATATTAGCACTTTGACTTCATGTGCATTGTGCATGTTTGGAGTTAGTTGAAATCCAAACCGACTCAAACCAATTCAAATCGACCAAATCGATTTTACTTAATAGAGGGTCGGTTTCGATTTGATTTATAGGTAACCCAACCAGGCCAGGTTGGTTTAAAAAACACTAGTAAACCAACCCAACCCGACTCGTGAACAACCCTACTGCTTAGTAGGTTGGTGCACCCTTCCCACACCAGCTCACGCCTTATAAGTTATAAGATTCTGCCACGTTTAGGGATGTTAGTGTATCGAGTTAAATGGTAAATCCAACTTAGGGTTGGGATAGGGTTAAGTATATTTGGTTTAAGGTTGGGTTAGGGTTTTGAATCTTTGATCCGAATCCAGTTCGGATAGGGTTCAAGATTTTATTGGTCTGCCCCTGTCGAGTCATGATACCTTACATATATACCAAATATTCTTGCAATTTTTTAACTTCAAACTTTATAGGCTTAAAGTTTATAATTTATTTATATGGTGATTTTGATTTTCTTATCTTAAAATCTATAAAACAATTTTTTATTTAAATTAATGTATTTTAGGTCTTTAAAATGTGTTAAAAATTACATTTAAAATTATACGGGTAAAATTGGGTCAAAACCAGGTTAAACACTATAAGGTTGAATCAAGTTTAGGAATTATATATTTTTAAGCCGGGTTAGATTGGATTGAGTTAAGGTTGAGACAAACCCGTGCCGAATCTAACCCGTTGACATCACTAGACACGTCGATTGAAAACACATTTAGATACTATGATACCGGAAAGACATGATGTCGATATGATAAAAGTGGTAACAAATCAGGTGGTATTAATGGAAATTGACAGGGCTCTGGTGTCATGCTTTTTACTTTTTTAAGCATTTATTTTCCTTAATCACTTTGTTTAAAAACAAAGGCCTTTTTAGAAGTGATGGAATCTGCTCCATTTGTGGCACATCCATTGTGCATTAGTAACATCTCCCATGAATTATAACTAATAAGTATGGGAGGTATCCCCGATGCATGATAGGATATGCGTGTGAAATGCCTGTGAGGCGCCAGGTGTGAGGAGCAGATATGGTTTCTTTTTAGAGTTTAGTCCTTGACACCGTCAGATTTGTTTTATTAGTTTTCCAAACGTATTCATTTAGAGATCGGCTTCCTCTGTGCTAGTTCCGTTTGAACAGAAACTTGGCGGGTTCGGCTTTAATCAAAGCTTTATACGTTCGAACACCATTCTGAGAAAATGACACGCGTTCATAGGCGTGTGTGCATTCTATATGCGTGCGAGGATGGTAAACAGACGTTACACCGTTAGTCCCTCTTTTCGCTTTACCCTTTCTATTCTCTTCTTTCTCGCATCTCTCCTGTCTCCACCCAAATCGATTCACCGAACCCCTCCCTGTTCTGCTATTCTCTCCAACCGGCGAAGACAAAAGGCATCACCGATGACCGTCAACACAGTAATGTAAAGAAACAAAAGAGTGGTAATGAATTCAGCGATGAGAGCCCTATAGAAGGACCACTTGGTCAATTCCACGGCATCGATCAAAGGCGCCGGAGGTGGGTCGTGGTAGTCCTTGGCGGAGAAATGGCCGTGTTCAGCAACCTCAACGTCCTTCCCCATGCCGTAACGAGTGCAAAAGCTCAAAAACAATAAGTTTACATGAGCTGGGAAAGAAGGGAGGGGAGGAAAGGAGAGAGAAGGCACTCATTGTTATGCTTGGATGGGAGTGGGAGTGAGTGAGAGGAAAGTAACGTGGGAAGGGGTATTTATTCTGGGAGTATGAGGAAAAAGAAATTAAGGTTTATTAAGTTGATTTTGCCACCCCTGCTACATCGCTGAATTTATTGCCACTCTTTTGTTTCTCTACATTAATGTGTTGACGGTCATCGGTTACAAAAGCTAGACTGACCAAGCCCACAACGGTGGTGATTGTGATGGAGTTGGCATCATTGGCATCGGTTGGGCTTTTGGTGGCATGATCTTCATCCTTGTTTACTGCACTGCCGGTATCGTCGACTGCTGGCGGATCAATTGTAGATGAAGCCGTTCGTTGCCGGCGGAATATCACTGTCATCAACAGTAAGGGTTCGGTGGAGAGAATAGCAGAAAAAAGATTTAGTTGCTCTATATCACCGCCGGAAGAAAATTTCACTTCGCCGGTTGGAGAGAATAGCAGAACAGGGTTCGGTGGGTCAATTTGGGTGGAGACCGAAGAGATGCGGGAAAGAAGAGAATAGATATGGCTAACGGTGTTCATGGAAAATGTCCATTTACCATCCTCGCACGCATAGAAAGCACATGTGCCTATGAACACGTGTCGTTCTCTCACAATGTTTGAATGGTGTTCGAACATATAAAGCTTTGACTGAAGCCGAACCAAAACTTCAGTCAGTATAAGCCCGTTCAAACAACCTTTAGGGCCTCGCATTGGGAATATCTCTCCATGAAATAGGTGTATAAGTACAGAGATATTCTTAATGCAAGACTGAAAAGGCTATTTGTACATCAAATGGGGCTTGCAGCGACGGAAGCCAATCTCCTCATGCACACCCCCTACCTACACACACAAACCATCCCCCGTGCATTATAAATCTTTCCCCTTACACAAATTTGAACTATACGAACTCATTAGGAATTCTGACAGGAACCAAACTCAAATTACCCCTGAAATCAATCTGGATCTCCCAACCACAAGTATTCTTCCCACACCTATACCTAGAGTTTGAGGACACTACATCTCTACATTGAGAATATCTTCCTATGAATGGTAACATGCAAATAGGGGAGATGTTCTCAATGTGTGACTGTAATAATTTATGGATAGGTATGGGCAAGGTTCAAAGTATCGGAAACGCAATGTATATCGAAAAGTTAGTTTTAAGAGACGTATCGAGATACACTTTGGATACGTATAGATAAGAACGAAAAATCAAGATATGAATAAATATGGTAAAAAAAATCAAATAAATCTTAAAAAAATATATTACTAACTACATTTACAAATTTTATATGATTGTAAATAAGTCATTTAAATGTAAAAAACCATAATTTATTGGTTTATATAAAGTGTGATATATCGGGACACAATTAGTAACCCTTGAAAAATGATGGAATAACTAAAATGTAAAAGAAAAAAAACTAAAATGTGAATGCCAATTTTCAATAACTAATATAATTAATCTTAATATTTATTAGTTTATAAATTTTAATAATTAATTCTAGCATTTATTAATAAAAACTTGTCACTCATTAAGAAAAGTGAAATTTCTTAAAATTAAAATTACATATAATCTTAGCAAACAAATATGTGCGGCTCATTGGCGAACTTGTGATTGTTAAAACTTAAATTCAAGTAGCCAAGGTTCAAATCTTGCTATAGCTAAAATTTGAAGTTTTTACACTAACAAAACAAAATTAGTGATAGGGGATCATTAATTAAAGGAATTAATGAGAGAATTTGAATTAGGCGCCAAAATTCAAATGTAAATTTAAATTTGCCTTAGAGTAATTGGCTAATTGACGAAAGAGAAATTAGACTTAAATAAACGACATTAATGAAAGAATTGGTATTAAACATGAATTAATGTATCGGTCGATACATATCCGAAACAGTTCGATACGCGCTTGTATCGGCCGATACGTACGAAAAGAAACATAATGAATGATTTATACACGTTCCACGTATCAGGTTCTTGTTGAAACAATATGTATCAACCGATACGGACCGATACGTTACGATATTTTGAACCTTGAGTATGGGTAGGATTATTGTGGGTAGGAGATCCATAAAATACCATTAAAAAGCCTTCCAAATGTGCATATGTTAAAGCTATCAATAGGTAGGGTCTATCCAATAAACTCAAACTGATCAAATCGATTATAATGGTTTTGGTTCTATACTTCTATGTCCCAATTAATAATTGGGTTGGTTTCGATACTTGTTCTGAATTGATTTAGAGCCAAAATCAATTATTTTATTAAATAGATTTTTTTAGTTTTTTTTATAATTTTTATCTTATTTTATGTTTGGAATGGTAAATTACTAAATTTGGTAGATAATAAATAACATAATATTAGTCAAAAACGTTTAATTTATTAACATATGCATCAAAATTAACGGATTTAGACCTAAGGGCAATTCTGGTTCTATCATTTTATCTCAATTAATAATCAGTTCAGGACTGGTTCTACTTAGGCCCAACCCATTGACAACCCTACTCAGGCTAGAATGGTCAATAAGTAGAATCTGGTTCGCAACAGGTTGACCAAACCTGAATCGATTATTAATTGATTTAGATACTGAGCTGAACCAATTATCAATCGGGATTATTAGGTCTGATCCGATTAGCCCCGATACTTGACATCTATGGTTACCTACTTACCTCTGATAGTTAAAACTTAGAACTCTTGATAATATAACCTTAAAATAATGAAAGTAAATGATAAATTATTTATATATTAATAAAACAAGTATTTTTAACCAAAATTACATGGTTTACGAAATTGGACCGGACCAGACGGTCAGACCAGAAAAACTGGAAACTGATCACCTGACCAGTTCCGTTTTTCCCCAAAATCACTGATTTTGATCAGCAAACCACTGAACCGACTGGTTAACCGTTCAAACCATTCGAACGGTTTTGACCGTTTTTCAAATTTTTTAACTTTTTTTATTTTTTTGTCAGAGAGGGCTGACCATTCGGGTCGAACGGTCGGACCGTCCGAACCGGTAACCGGACCCCTGACTGGTTCGGTCACCAGGTCGGTTTTTAAAACCATGCAAAATTATCTTATATAGTACTTATGAAGTTTGTCCTTTAAACATAAAATATAACAAAAAATTCGAATAAAACCTACATATCTTTGTATATTATTAATTATATAACCAATTTGGGTTTTAATCCGAAACAAAAAAAAATTCTCCTGAACAAATTTATTAATCAGGACACAAACCACAAAACCACAACTGACATAATCGGTTTGGTAAGTTAAATTCAATTGTGTAAACCCGACCCATTGACAGCTCCATCCAGACCAAAAAAAAGTAAGGTGAACTGTGATATGAATTATCTCTGTATAGTTTCCATTAATTAATCCACAAGGTCCAACCTAATTAGTTGGCCCGTAGTCCTCTAAAATCCAAATTCCAAATACGTTCCACAGCAAGTTTTCAGCTTGGCTTTCAATTTGTTCGAATGATGTAATAGAATAGTTAGGCAAAAATCATGTCTAAAGTCGATGCAGAGTGCAGATCTCCTATACCTAACGCCTTAATGCCTTGTACAACTCTTTGAACACGAGAGTGGATAGGTTATAGGTATTTGGTTATGATGCCGCAACAACTTTGACCCCCACCCACCCTATCTTGATGAATTTTCACTGATCTATTTCTTATACATTTTACTGTCAATCAATCAATCAATCAATCTCTCTCTCTCTCTCCTTTTCTGGAATAACTAGTCCTTCGAACTGGAAGAATCCTTTGGTTAGTTGGCACCTTTTAAGTCTACAGCAAGGATTCATAGACCCACGGGAGTATGATCATGGTTACAAAACCTCAATCTATTGCTCATCACCCATATGCATGGCGAATGAGATTCCCATACACTACATAATTCAATATAATCTCAAGCATTGTTTTGATAAAGGAAAAAAAAAAAAAGATGCTTGCAAAGAAATCTATGTTTATCAGCCACCGAATCCAAAAGGAATACATACAACTCAGGTCTTTTTAATCACACCCCCTTTCCATGTGACGCTATGCTTTCTATGACTTGCTCACATCCCAAGCCAGAGATAAAAATGTGTTGATAAAATAGATAAAACGAGAGGTAGCTGGATAATTATGGCAGGTAGGGGTGTCAATGGACCGAATTTGGGTTGGACCTTGTCTGAATCAAAATCAATTTGAAACAGGTTGGTCAGATCAATAAGACACTGAATTGAACTAGTCCAAGGTATTTATTGAATTGGATTGGATCTGGTCCCTAGTAATGAACCAGATTTGGGTTGGACCCAAATCTAAAATAAACCCAATTTGAACAGATTGGACAGTCCAGACATTGAATTGGACCAGTCCAGAATGATCCAGAGTATTCATGGGATTGGATTGGACCTAGCCCATCTGTAATGGACTCATTGAACAGGATCGGATTGGACCAATATCCAGTCCATTGACAGCCCTAATTTCAGGAAAAATGCTAATTCATAGAGCAGCTTGAAGAGTAGTGGATCTAACTTTGGACTGGTGTCATTAAAGTCGGAATGTTGGAGTCATGAATTTGTAGTCATATTCAATGTAATCAATCAAGACCACCGTCCCTTCAAATATAAGCCAAAGTTGAGCCAACAAAAGCTAAAGACTCCTTCAACTCATAATTAACAATCACATTTTATTCCAACCCACCAACCATGTTTTAGAATACAGGTAAGAAAGTCTGAGATCTGCAACCTAGAATAGAACAGCCTGTAGAATAACAGGTGTCTTAAATAGAACAGAAATCACCCAAATGGGACTAATGAAACTGGAAAACTCACTCAAAATTGTGTGCCCTTTTTGCTGAAACGAGTGTATTTGATAGAAGCATGGCTATGGTCATGGGACCAACTCCCCCAGGAACAGGTGTAATGGCTGAAGCTACCTTACATGCCTCCTCGTAACAAACGTCCCCAACCAATCGGTAACCCCGTGGACTTTGTGCATCCTGTTTCATGAATGCAACTAGTTCTCAGAAACCTTAAATGCTACCATGTGAAACTACAAGCCCCTTAGGGTTTTGTATGGACCCAGTGAGTTTCAGAAAAAAAAAAAAACAAAACGAAAGAGTTTTTTTTTCATTATTTTCACAAAGTACTCAACCAGATATAACAACAAATTCCATCCTTACAAGTTTTCTATATGCAATTTCAAGCAAGATTGATTATAATGGTAAATGAAAAAAAAAAGATAAAGGGATATATCTTTTTCAGAATTTACCAGCAGCTACAGGCATTTTAATATTTTCCTCAAGTATTAAGATTTTTCTTCTTTCTCACAAGATGGCCTTTTGTAACTAAGGACAACTTTCCTGTTATTTCTCCTCCTTTTTTTTCCTTTTTCTAACAAAAGATTCTAGTGATAAATACCCTAAAAATAGAAACAGAATATACTAATCCAAAATGTCCAAGGACAGTCTACTTACCTCAATGGGATTAATTCCAACATCAATAATAACTGCTCCAGGTTTTATCCAGCTTCCTCTCACCATGTTTGGCTGCCCTACAGCAGAGATGATAATATCTGCTTGACTAGTGATTTCCTCTGGGTGTTTTGTTCTAGAATGTACAATGGTGATGGTAGCATCTTCCCTCTGACAAAAAATTGTAGATGTAGGTCAATAAAGAATAATTTGAAACACTCCTGATAAACAAATTTGATATGCAATGGGAAAAGAAATCAAATCTTACCTGCAGTAACAAGGCAGCCGGCATTCCAACGATGTTGCTACGACCAATTACAACTGCTCTCTTTCCCTTTATTTCAATGCCATACCTGTGCAACAACTCTATGCATCCTTTGGGAGTACATGGAACAAATAGGGGTTCCCGACCTCGCATGGCAAGACGACCAATATTTAATGGATGGAAGCCATCAACATCTTTTTTAATGCTAACTTCATTCAAGATGGTCTCTTCATTCATATGCTGATATAAAACCCATAAAAGGCCTAATTAGATTCCTTGAAATCATAGAAGCCACTAACCATGTCTCTGCACTTGAGAAATCAAGGGCTTAACAGTTTGAAGAATGAGCTCTTCATTAAATAACTTTGTAATAAGAACATGTTTCAGATAAAACTGCTTCATGCATTCTTTGTATAAAGGCATATAAGCATTACATAGAAATGACAACTTCTCCTACAAGTGCCAGTTTTGGACATGTTGCTAAAGGAAATAGGTGCAAAGAAGAGACCTCATAACATTGCACAAATTGCATTAGGTGTTGGCAATTGATATGGTGGTCATAAGGAGAGTGACATTAAACATGCCAGTGAGTATAATTTTTCACAACAAAGAGAGCAAAATTAGGGACCTTTGGCATACCAATAGCAATTTAAGGTAGGAAATAGAAAAAAAAAAGGCTTTGATTGGGTAAAGCTTTATGGTTTAGGGGTTCAAGAAGTTGGATTTAACTTCGCCTCAGGTTTTATATTACTTCATCTAACATTGCAAACAAAAGAAACAAAGTAAAACCCAAAACAAAAGTAAACTAGAATTTGCACTCCCACACTTCAGCAATGCAAATGAAATTACACTGCAAAAAACAAGGCTTTATGGTTGAAATTTAAGGACAAATGGAACAATATAGAAAAGTTTAATGACAAGAAACAGATTATTACAGCATCTAAGGACAAAGCTATGAGGGTATGCTTCAGTTTTTATGTTCAAGAATAAGAAAAAATAAAAGGATGAGAAACTGCCAAACATTTTAGGGTTTAAAATCTACATAATGAGATGTTTGGGGGTGGACAATCCTTGGGTTGTTAGGAGGTGCAATTACATGCTAGTGATGTTTTATTTATATATTTCTATATCCACCACTTACCCTTATGTATTTTATCATATTCAATATGAACCAGTATCTTAATTAGTATAGCATGGACAATACTTATTTCAAAGATCACCGATATATGTTTTCCCTTTCTAAGAATTGAATTAAAAGGTCATGTATTCTTCAGCATCACATCCAGTGTTTTAAAAGCGCAAGGCGCAAAAAAGGCGCAGGGGTCAATTTGCGCCTGAGGCGCACGCCTTTTTGAAGCAAGGTGCAAAAATACAAAAAAAAAAGTTAAAAATAAAAAAAAATGTCAAAAAATTAAAAAAATGCCAAAAATTAAAAAAATAAACATAATTATACTAAAAAATATAAAGTTAAATTTTAAAATAATGTTTTAAAAAACCTATTATCTAAATCTAAAATACATAAACATAAGATGTAAAGCATATTCAAATGAGAATTTAAAAATAAAATCAAACATATAAAACATTTTCAAGCATGTAAAACCTCTAATCTCTTTTTTCACTCCATTCCAATACTTTACATAGCTAATGTAATGTAAAATATATTACAATCCTGATTCTACTGGACGCCTTTGTGCCACGCTCCTCAAGGCAAGCCCAAACAAGTCCACATTAGGTCTTAAATTCTTAGTTTTCACACAAAAAATAATGATTTTATAGTTTTAATTGTTTTTTAAGAAGACATGTTTTAAGAAGACATGTTTTATAGTCCCAATTTGGTAATGTGGACTTGTTTGGGCTTGCCTCGAGGGGCATGGCATAGGGATCCGGGGGAGGAGCCCCCGGCCCAGCTGTTATGTTAAAAAAAAAGCAAAAAAGCACCAAATTTTCAAAAGGCACACACCTGGGCTGAGGCGGAAGGCGCATCAGGCGCACCAGGCGTGCGCCTTTTGAAAGGGCCGCACCCAGGACCTAGGCGGGGCGCATACCCTGAAATGCGCCTTGCCTGTGCGCCTAGGCGCGCCTTTTAAATCACTGATCACATCAGACCTCTATTCTTCTTAAAAGGCACTTTACATGTTACAATTAAGGTGATTACACCAAAGCATCAAGCTGTTAGATATAGCCTGATGTCTTCTCTACATGATAAATTCAAGATAAGGAAGTCTCAGTAACATGGTAAAAAGATAGCAATATTTCTCCAGATTTTCTTTTATAATCTATATTAGAATGAATAGACACTCTTTGGGGAAATCCAGTAACATGAAAGCCCCTTTTTCCCTGAAGTGAAAATGTAAGACCAACAATTCTCAGAATCAAATTAACGCAATATCATTGTTACTAAACTTAGAGAACTATACATGACTAGAAACTCTTCAGAATAGAAGTGTTTGTCGGGTAAAGTTAAACTGTAACCCTTTTTACACATACTGCTTTCTGAATATCTTGTAACATCTTTTTTTATGGATATTGATTGGCGTAGATATATCACTATATTTTAGCAAAAGATATACCCAAGTACATAGGTTTGTGCCTTCATGCTTAACACACTGAAGCACTACAACAAATCTTACTCCAAAGAATGGAGATTTTAGTAAGGCAAGTTGGTAATCCAAAGAAAGAACAATTGAACTGATCTACTAAAATCTGCTCAGTGCACAAGGCGCCTGCCAATGTGGGGTCTGAGGAGGGGCATATGTATGCAGCCTTACCCCTGCATATACAGAGAGGCTGTTTCCAAAATTGAACTGACCTACTCCAAGACTAATTGTTTTAGATAAGATTGTAGCCAGAAAATGAGCAACAAAACTAGAAAACCTGCGAAACAAACAAAAAATCCATAGCACACAATTGTGAAAGTAAAGTCATAACAAAAGAAGAATATTAAATAGGCTAGGAAACATACAGGAGGCAAAGGTAGCTGAACAAGGATTCCATGGACTGATGGATCATCATTGAAGCCCGAGATAGAGTTAAGCACTTCTTCTTCGGTGGAGTTCTCAGGCAAATGCACTTCATAAGATGTAATCCCTACAGCTTCACAAGCCCTCTTCTTGTTGCGAACATAAGTTGCAGAGTCCTTCCTGTCACCAACTAAAATGACTGCTAAGCCTGGAACTATACCAGTGGCATCTTTCATTCTAGATATTTCACTTCTGATTTCATCTCTAATTTTCTTAGCAACTGATTTTCCATCAATAACCGTTGCAGAAGGTTCAGTTGCCATTGCCACTGTATAAGAACATTAACATGAGATGACTAAGCCAAAATGCAGGAGTCTAACAGATAAAAACAGGCATGCTTCATCACTTGCACATATAATATTGGGAGTTACTGATTTGATCTGATAATTCGTAATAAATTTTATATCCCTATAAGTTGAACTTCATAATATCAAACCAAGAGCCTGTCCACCCATGGCCATTAAGAACCACCATTGCCGTATGAACCTTGCTTTCACATGAGAAGTTGCCTTTGAAAATTAAAAAACAGATGTAACATAGAGATATCATCTTCCAAGCCTGGCTCTGGCACGACATGCTAATGTATCCAGAATTCTACCAAAATACCAATCACCTCATAAAAGAGATAAATGGGCCATGTACCCTTAAACAAGACAGACCTAAGACACTCGGAAAACGTTCCTACTCAAATGAACTGACAGTTATGAAGATAAAACAGACGCATGAAAATAAACAAACAAACAAATTAACTCCTTGCTCAACTCAAATGACATACCCATTCGGCATTCCGCATTCACCACAAAATTCGTTTCTTTTTATTTTCTTCTATTTTTTCTCCGGAAAAATGCTAGATTAAAAGTTTGAAACATAATGCGGGAAAAAAGAGTTAGGTCGTACCAGTTACAATCGAAGACGAACTTCTCCCATGTGTGCTAATGAAATTTAAACTGGGGTTTTTAGGTTTCCAGCCGACAGAAACTGATTGGCGGAACTGAAGAATGCCATTGCGGATTCTGCTTAAAGGAACAAGGCGAGCCGTTGTCGACGACGAGCAGTCCGAGAATATTGTCGACGCTGTTGCCATAATTCGTTTTGGGGTTTAGGGTTTATGCAAATTTTGAACTTTTCGTTTACGTAGGGCTGCAAATGGTATTGTTTTGAGGAAGCTGAAAATGGTATTCAATTGTCTGAATTTCGATCGCATTAAGGGTGATCCGAATTCAATCCGTCCATACATAAATTGTATATGGATCCACGTCCACCCCTGGACCAACCCGATGAAAATCCGATTCCATTCGATTTAAGAATATACATTTTATAACCTAAAAAATACAACATAAGAGATAATTTAAATGTTGCATTTTTAATGAATTGTCATCAATTCAAGTTTTAAACAAGTAATTTATTTTCCATTCATTATACAATACGAAAGTCATTTTAATTTATTTTATTAATTATATAAGATTAGTTTTAATTTAATTTACTTATACAGTCGGATACAATCCGAGATTCGATGGACAAGATCCGATTAGGTTCGGTCCATTTTGCAGCACTGCTCCTAGGATTTTTTGGACACTAGTTTCTATTCCTTTTTCAGCTCTGCTTTGACGACAGTCATGTGGATATTGATGAACCAAGTAGTAAGGTTTTAAATGGTTAAAGCCTAAAGGCAGAGCTAGGGGATTGGGTGTGAAAGGGGTGAGGCCTAAGTCTCCTCGGAAAAAAAAATAAAAATTATATATTTATATTTATTAGAAAAAACAAATGAATAATATAAGTTATTTTTTCTAGATTTACGTTACCCAACCTAACCTCAAATTGACCTGATCCAATGACCAAGCTAATAAAATTCCCGGATATGCTTTGGGCCTAGTGCTGTTTTGGTCCTCCAACTTTAAAATGTAATAATTCAATATTTTAATTTTTAAAATATGTCAATTTAATATCTACCGTAACCATTAACCAGCCTTTAATTGGTATTTGGAAAAGAAGCAAATGCCCTTTGAATGTCATCTAAAATTCTTTATCAATCATTCAAACGTTGACCAAAATTTAACAATTTCAAATCCCAGCTTTTTCTATTCAAGAAAGTTGGGGTTACGTCTCAATGGACATTTTGGACCCTAACTTTATTGAATAAAGAGGCAAGGATTTAAGAATGTTAATTTTTTGTCAACATTTGGATGATTGATAAAGAAAATTAGATGACACCATAGGGCATTTTGTGTCTTTTTCAAATGCCATTTAATAACTGGTTAACAGTAGGTATTGGTTTGACACATTTTGAAAATTCGGCTACTGAATGAATTGTCGCATTTTAAAGTTTAGGGACTAAAGTGGCACTAGGCCCAAAGTACAAGGTACTAACCGGGAATTTTCTCATTCTTTTATTAAAAAAAAAATCATATATCCAAAGTGACAAACTTTTTTTTTTCATTTTATGTTTTCTCAAATACTTTATTCCTTGTTTTTTTTTTCACTATGGTTTAAAAGCATCGAGGTTGGTTCATTCTTTGTAGTTCCATTATTGATAAAAAAAAATTGCTTTGTAGTTTCATTGGTTTGTTTTAGACTTTTAATTTTAGCTACATAGTCCATAAAGAAGTTATTTGGATGAGGTAACTTAGGGGTCATTTGATAATAACTGAATATGCTGAATTGAAAAAACTTATTGCTTTTGTGTTTTAGTGAATAAGTTCTTAAGGAGGCCATAGATTCCTTAATAGCATAAACTGAAGTTGAATAGATTACTATACCCTTGAAAATTTTATCATTTAATAATATATATATATATAATTTAAAAATAACTCCCATTAACAATATTTATAAAAGAAAAGTCCTTATTTAAGCCTTAGGCCTTGCGCATCACAAGGCTAAGGGCTTAAAAGGCGTAGGCCACTCAAAGGCCCAAGCCTTGGCAATGGAGAGAAAGGCTATTGAGGCCAGGACTTTTTGGTCAGCCTCGCCTCAATAGTCTTTTAAACAATGCCAAGTAGAATTAAGAGACGCCACTGTTGTAAATAGTATACCCTCCGCACGGCCAACCTGCCCTCCCATGGTTTTATTGTCAGCCAGTCCACACTCAATCCTCACATGTAGGTTGCATGTTGGTCCATTTTAAGGTAGAAGGTTTATAAGGCTGTCAATGGACTTTGAATTTCTTTACCTGGTTCGTTTCCAAATTCGATTATTTTAGATATAAATGTTAGAACTTGTATTCGATTAATAATCAGATTATGAATTTGATAAAAGAATTATATGTATATATAATATAATTATATAAAGATATTATGTATAATTATTTATTTATATAAAGTTTATAATTGATAAATTTAATATTTTATATTTATATACATTTATTGTATAGAACATTTGGTTTTGATGACCTTTGAACTTTGCAAAAAGGCTAGTTTAGACCAAAACATTAAAAAAATGTCATTTTCGCCTTCAAACTATTACGAAAAGGCTATTTTAAAATCAGCAACATTAAAGATGCCGTTGGTGATTCCATTAGACAAATAATAAAATAATAAGGCCCGTTAGCTCTAGTGTGGCACTGTTCAAGTAAAAAAAATATTTAAAAAATTATACATGGGTCCTGATGTAACCGTTTTTGGTCACGTACCATTTTTTGGGATGTGTAAAATTTTTTTTGGCTAAGTACCTCGTGTTTAACTTGGTGGTGACGTGCCTTGGTGATGAGCTACTTGGTGGCGAACTTCCCGGGGGAGAACTGCCTGGTGGCGAACTGCCT